GAGAGGCAGATCTCTGGAGTATAAGATTGGGGGTGAATCTATCCCTTGTGGGAATAAAGAGTAAGAACAGGTCCTCGACTCAGGTTCTCTGCATCACCTCATCTCAGTTCTTATCTACACTTAGAATCACTTGGAGCCCGTTAGGCCATTGTAAAGACTGGGAAAATAGGAAATCATAAGATTTTGACAAGAAAGTGAAATTACTAAACATTTTAAAGAATGCCTCTGGAAGATGGCAGAATAGATAGTCCCTAGCATCACTCTCTCCCACAAATCAACCGATTTACAACTATTGAAAAGCAACAACAGCCAAGCTGGGGCCGCTAGAGCTCAGGGGAAGAGGAGAAGAGACCTACGGAGTTTATGAAGATTGGAGAAGCCATGATGAGAGAAGGGAAGGATCACTCCCAACATTTCGAGTCTCAATCATTTCCAGGCTGTAGCTGCTGAGCACACAGAGCAGGAGCTGGCAAAAGCCACAGCTGTGCCCTTCCTATGAAGTTGCTTGGAGGCAGCAGGGGAGAAGAGGGCCTCATTGGCTCCTAGGCCATCAAGACCACTAAGAGGGTTCCCGTGGACCTACATAGGAGAAAGGAGCCACAACAACTAGAAAAAAAGAGCAACTCAGAGGCTGGTGAGTCATTGCATCGTCTCACGGGAAGTGTTTACAACACGGGCAGTGGGGAAGATGGACTCACCAGGGGAACACTAGGGCACAGCAAGGACAGCTGATCTGCCCTTCAGTCAGTGCATTACCACTCAGTGGAGACTGGTCAGGAATATAGAACTGCAGGGGGTGCAGTTTGCTGAAAATTCTCAGGCCCAGACCAGAGTTTCTACACAACACAGGAGTACCAGATTTCACAAGACTCAGAAGTACATATAAGGTCAGGAATTAAAACCTTTAGCTCAACTATAGGGCTCAAGTGGTGGTCCCCACAGGAAGTTCCCCCATTTTAGAAGGAAGCAAAGGACAGCAAATTAGTTCCAGTGCAGAGTTTAAGTGGTGGGCACAGAGAATAACCCAACACAGAACTGAAAGAAAAAATGAAATAACCACAGATCAGAGACAAAGGTTGATATTAACTAGTGAAGGCCTCACCTCTCCAAAGAACACCTAGGAGTACTGGAAGCCCCCTGGGCTCCCAGGCTGGGGAGTTATGACCACCAAGCCACTACTGGAAACACCCTGGGCTACTGAGCCAGGGCAATGGGTGGCTGAGGGCTTCAGCCACATCCCACTGACATCTGCATCCAGCCCAGCAATGACTGAGCCACTGCTGGGAGCACCCTGGTCTCCAGTGCCAGAGTGAGGGGATTGCCAAGGGCTTTAACCACACACCCCCTCCTTTCACTTCCCACCTGTTTCCCTCTCTCTTCCCCTCTCCCCCTCCCCCGCAACTACTCCACAACAACATCTTAGAATGAGGCATGTAGCTGGGTGAAGCCAAACCCGGCTGTAACTAGGCAAGCTGCTGCCACCACCCTGGGGCCCTGCCGGGGTCCTGAGGCATAGAGCCAGGGGAAGCCAAACTCAGCCACAATCAGGTAAAGAGCACACCAAAAACACCATGTCCATGTGGGTAGCTCACCATAGCCACCACAATTGCCATGGCTGCCACAAAAGCAGCTAGTCTCCATAGCAACAGTCACAGCCACCATGCAGATGGCGTGCCAGACTCTCAACTGCATTGACACAAGGAGAGGCACCAGCAGAGACCAAAAAAAAAAAAAGTCCTCTCTCTCCACAAAGCACACTCCAGAGTAACAGAAGAAGCATCTACTTTACAATAATAGGGGAGGACTTGATCGCACCTGTCTCAATACTGGACAGATCATCTAGGCAACAAACCAAAAGAGAAAAAGTTAATCTATGAGATGGAGACAACAAATCTATGGTTATTAGAGAGAGGAGGTGGGAGGGGGAAAGGAGGGGGAAGGGGAGAGATTGGATAAGGGGCATAAGGAATAAGTGTGATTTGTAACAATGAATATGCTAGTAAAAATAAATAAATTGATAAAAAAAAATCACTTGGAGACTTTAAAATTTTAAATGTTGTGATTGCTCNTTCTGAGAGTGGGAGCTAAGCACTGGCATCTTTTTTACTTTCCCCAAGTATGTAGCGGGGGACTGAAAACCACTGAGCTCTCGAGCTTCCCATATGGTACAAGTGGAATCATACCACAGGGGAGAGAAAATGCATTGAATTCCCCATGTAAAAGAAGAACAGGGGTGTCAAAACCTTTAAGCTTATGTCTTAGAGGGCATCTCTAAACTGTCTGCCATACCAACACAAAGCAAAAGCTCCAAGATTTAAATTTAGCCTTAATATCATGTACAGTCAGCTCTCCTTACGTATGGGTTCCATATCTGTAGATTCAACTAACTGCAGATTCACAAAGTTCCAAAAAGCAAAACTTGAGTTTGCTGCATGCCAAGTACTACATTGAACCTACAAAATGAAGTGATATGTAGTCCATGTATTAAGTATTATAGTTAATCTAGAGATGATTTAAAATATATGGGCGGATGTGTGTAGGTATGCAAATACTATGTCATATAAGGCACTTGAGCATCCACAGATTTTGGTATCCAAGGGAAGGTGGAACCAAATTCCCCATGGATACCAAGGGACAACTGTATTAATAAGATGCCTCTTTTCTGTTTTTCCCAGGAGGGGAGCATGGAGGAGAAAGAAATGAAT